AGCACCGTGTCACGACAAGCCAACACTCGACACGACCACAAATCCATTCATAGTTAAGTATGGCCACATCGAAATTCCTTGTCAATATTCAAAAACAATTGAATAACTTTTATAATTTCTAACTTATTATTATTATATTATTATTGTACCAGCCGTTAACTGCCCACAGCTGAACAAAGGCTTCCCCTTAAACTTAAGTTTAAAGAGGAACGGTTTCGCCTATCCCTCGACCATTAAAATCCCTTAGTCGCCTCTAACGACACCTACGGAAAAAGTGAATCATTCTATGCCGGACCACACGGCCGAATGAATATACCGGTTTCGATTCGGAAACCGGAACAGTTTAGGTTATCAACTTTTTAAATTAGTTCATTCTGGGTGTTCTAATTAGTTCATACTGGGTGTTCGTTAGTTTTTCACAACACAAGATATCCTAGCTCGAGAACAAGGCGATTATTGTTATTATATGGCAGTTATTATTATTATTTAAAACACACACTAAACCGTTTATCACAAAATAAGTTGCATGTACATTTACTATTAAAATTTTTGCACCAGTACAATATTTTGCTTTTGAAGTTCTCAAATACTTTCAAAAATCCAAATTTACAATGACGGCTTCATATGAATCTTGTTTTACATATTTAAACATTTTAGTTTACTATTAGAGCACTCTATAAAAATAAATCAATCGGAAATATTGAAAATTGTTCAAATGTTTTTGAAAATTTATAACCCCGATGTTAGCATACTTCAGTAAAACTTCAGTATAAACGCTCTTAAAGTATTTTAAAGGCAATAAATTGGCCTCACACCCAAACAAACTCGTGCGATAAAGTCATTGATCCCGTGTTAAACATGGCATATACTAGCGTGTAATTTGACCTAATTTCTTTATCTATAACTCAGTAAGTGGACACAAAACTTAATATCTTATTATTTACATAATTTTTTTTTTTAGAATGAATTGATATGTTACAAATAACAAACATATGTACGTCAATTAATTATTATTAAGCAATAATAATTATATAGTAGTAGATTGTTAGATTTGTCTAATGCTGTAATTTCTGACTTTTATAAGTATCGTCTTGTGGTATATTTACACAAATAATAGTTATTTATCTTTATATATTCAACGTAATTTTAGTGCCTATTATCAAATTATCTTTTTATAGTCTTTTTATGTTCACTTAATAGTATAACTTAAGATATACGTAATATCGTTTTATAAACAGTAATAATAAAATGTAAAATAATTGTTAAAAAATAAATTGCGTGGGATAGAAAGCTATAATACGGTGTGGCGTGGTGTGATAAATGATTTTACATTTACACCGATTGGAAATGACAGCAGAAATCCTAATATATTTGTTAGAACATAATTTAGTAAACGGCGGTGTTGACGGACATGAGCAATTAGTAAACGATAAACACTTTAATCTTAACGAGAGTACCACTTATGTTGACAATGATTAGCATAATCAGTTAGCGTTAACAATTAGTTTAGAATATGTTGGTGGGTATGTAGATTGTGGTAACACAATGATTTGACAAATCAGAAGAGATAATATTAAATATTTTATAAAACAACTTGCAGGATCGTGTAATGGGTCAACTAGATAAATGTATATATAATATACATTAATTTAGTAATTTCCTTAGTGGATTTTGCATTAAATATGGATATGTCGGAAAATACACTTCGGATGTTAATAAAATATTCTATTAGAACCTAAATGTAATCCTAACACAAAACTCGCTTTATAAATTTAACAAGACAACAAGCTCTGCAAAAGAGCTGATTTGCAGCTAAGAGTAGAGTATGCAAATTGTGCATTCACTAAACATTCAAAGCCGTCCAAAGTGCTGTGAATTTGGAGAGTCTATTTTAATTAAACCTAATTATATATTTATATTTTCTTTTGTCTCCTCAAAATACGAGCTGGCTGGAGATAAAAACAATAGTATTTATTATAGATAATTTAAAATTAAAAATAAATAATAACAAAGTCTTTCCAAGATATTATTGACATTTGAGTTTTGAGTACACGTATTTCGACACACACGCGATCGCAATAGATGATTACTGATAGACTTTTCAAATGAACAATAAAGAAGAATGCCGTATTTAACGTCTATTTTCATCTCCATTAATGTACAATCCACTAAGTGTTTATTGATTTACCATAATTATAGGTACAGTTTCTGTAATATTTTTTTAATATATTACAATAAATCTTTCCTCTCTCAAACTATAGTATGAATAACTAATATATAATTACAAATATAACCTTTATAAAACAGTAAAATTACTTAAACAGAAAGCTTAGTCTTCCTAACTTTTATGTATAAAGAACAAACAGCATACGGGGTTTACAAATAAAAATGTAATAATAACTAAATATAATTTTAATGGAATGAACACATTCTGCTTAACCCTGGATACTGAAATTCACATGCTTCGTCACAAACCCGGTGACAGACGCACGGTTAGACTTCTAATGGATTCCATTTTTTACCCGCCCCACCGTGCTACGCGAATAGCAAATACATCATCCCGAATAAGTTAATAAATAAAGATCACAACCTCGATTGCTGGAAAATACCCAATCTCCCACTCCGACAAATGTAAACGAATTGATTTGTTGTATTAAATTGGAATTGTATAATAAAATCTTATTTATATTACTGGTCTATTCTTTATTTAAAATTTTTTTACTTACTTCTCATAATTTAATATAAATAGATATATATTTAAGAATAGAGAATAAATAGAATAGACCAGAAATTTCCACAGTTGTTCTGATAGGCTGCTTCGGTGAGCTGTATGCTCAGCGAAACAACCATTTTCATTATATATATAACAATAAAACGGTAACGAAGCCAAAAAATTTACATTAAATATATTTAGATATATAGTAGTATTAGCAATAGTTTATAAGTAATATAGCACAAGCAACACTGGACCGAAACCGATGGTTTTTGTGTGATTTTGTAAATGTTCTCTGTCTATGTTAATACACTAATTCGTTTTACGTAAAAACAGATTTTGGCGAGACCTTTCACAGTATATTGAGCTGAATATAGCTCCACATAATAACAAATTACCCCCCAAAGGGGCTAAATTGTTATATATTTCAAAGCAATCTATTGTAAAGTACAAATTGATTATGCTAGACAATACGAAAAAGTTCGTATAAAAGTGTTATATAAAGAGGAGTGGGGAGGCCAGGTAAGCGCATGACCCCTTCCTTTTGTGCCTAACAATGCTTCAGTTCTGGTTGTAAAGTTGTCACAAATTGATTATACTTCCGTTGAAGAGCAATAGATGGTTTCTCTCGAAACTCGGCAAGAATGGCCGTGAAAGCAAAGAGTGGAAGACATCCGGGGAACCACGAACAAAAATCAAGAAAATCCCGCTCAAATGTCAAGACAATGTTGATTGTTTTTTTCGATGTTCGGGGGATTGTCCATCAAGAACAATGATGGAAAATTCTACGTCGATGTGCTCAACGCCTCAAAGCTCGTGTGGCAGATCCCAGGGCGCGAGAGCATTCTGTGCCCACACCTCTCTTGTTGTCCGTAGTTTTTGAGTAAAAATTCCATTACGGTGACCGAACACCCCCCTATTCGTTTGGCCCGAAAAACCAAATTGGTACTCATACAAAAAAAGCTACAATAGGGCAGCTAAATAAGACTTTCAAGGAGCCTACAGTGGAAACGGCGAAAAAAACAGAGTCCAATAAAATTGATTTACCTGAATAATTGTAAAATAAAATTTTTAAAAACTTTTATACATACAAACCTCGTAGATGGCGTAAAAACGTTCATAAACAATGAGTATAAATTCCCAGGAAGCATTTCGTACTTCTTGGCTGAGCTGGGCGATTTTTACATTAGCCTAAATAAGAGACTTTCCATTTTCCTTTACATAGAAAAAATACGAATAAATAAATTAATGTAATCGATTTTTTTATTCGCGAATACGTAATTGCGTCCATAGCTATTTTTATAATACAGCTACAAACCAACTTTGCGATTGGTCAATTAGATGGGTTAAAATAACGGCAAGTGTCCGTGTCAAACATAAGTAAATACACTTAGATACAACATTATTATTCATCTATATGACACACACGTGTCATACGACTCGGCCGGTTTGATCTATTAGTTCGCATTTAATATTATTGGTATCACTTAGCTGTCACTTTTGACAGCACATTCGTAATCGTAATTTGAACATGATCAATAATATAACGTAGTTAGTGTTTAAATTCATATTAAAATTGTAATAGGGAATGAGGTATTAAATCTCCGAGAGATTAGATCAAATTGGATGCAGTCCAAGTTCGCATCGTTCATAACAAGATATAGTCTTTAAAATAAGCATTATGTACCTTATATAATATTTTAATCTATTTAATACACTTTAACGGCTAATATGAGATTTTAAAATGAATAATATGGAACGATTTTCTATACTTGCAGAATTAAAAACAAATTTAACAATTTTTTTATCAAAATAATGGTGCATAAAATTAACAAATAGCTAAGTTTTTGAATAAATTGCGTGGCGTGACCGGGATATGTTTACTGACCGAGATAAAAAAAAGTAAAATAGCATATATCCTCCTCCATCTCACATAGTACGTGTATACCAAATTCCCTTATTATAATAGCGACTGTTTAAGTCGTTAAGGCATTATAAGTTAACAAACAACCAAACTCACTTTCACATTTATAATTTTAATAAGGATCTTCTTGTATATTTTATTTTTTAAATTATAATGGCAAGATTGGAATTTTATGTACTAGCGAAATATAGACATATAAGCGACACAAAAATAACAATTGATATTACATCTAACTAACCCCAGTAGGAGTTATAGTCGTCAGCATATGTATTTGATTCATTTCTAAATTGAATAAAAAGAAATTTTGTTACCAATTGTGCCAAATATAGTAAAACAAGATATATATGCTAAATTTGAATTTACCTGACTTGCTCGTGTTTTTGTATGTATATCTTGTGAAACTGGCCCTCGACCGGCGAGATGATGTCGTTCTTCATTTCCATTGCCACGTGTTGCGGCAGTACGGACAGTAGCAATCTTTCCTGTTTACAAAAAATACTAAAATAAGTATGTGAAGAATTACTATTATTATTATTTTAAATGGATGATAATAGAATGGTAACTCCACCCGCGCTATCGGTATACACCGGCGGGGCACCAGTGAAGAATGATAGGTGAGGATGAAGTAGGTCAGTTAGCCCATCATGACGAATTCAACAAGAATTTTTCATGATGGTTTCCAGGGAGAACCACGTGGAGGTCGACCTAATAAGGTATATTGCTAGCAATGGGGCTGTCACACTCCATTGCTAACAATCCCTTTCCCTCTTACTATTATTAATAAAATTATTTGAAAACGAACCCAAACGGGTTGTCTTTTGATAACAACATGAAAGTAATTTATGTACTGGTAATAACATCAGGTTAACACACTACTGCACTTTCCGACCTTCTAATGATCACCAGATCGATCCCCGTACAACACAAATATTTATATTCATAAGTATGCATTTGTAATGTTCTGACTCCCTGCAATGCATTTCAGGTCGTCACTCCATCTAGTGGAAGGTCGTCTTACACTGTGTTTGTCCCTACGGGGTCGCCACTGAAGCACCTTTCTTCCCTATCGGTTGTTCTTCGAGCTACATGACCAGCCCATTGCTACTTCAGCTAGCTTATTCTTGTATATGTATGTATTTATAAAAAAAAATTCTATCAGTTATCAAGTTCTAGTTTATCGTCAAGGATGACAGAAGCCTAAGAATAGACACAGAGTCATGTAACATCATATAAATTTATATCATATATAAATTTATATGACGTTACACGACTATATACGTCATATTAATAACGCAAGCGAAGCCGAGGATACTGTCTAGTGCGTTTGTAATACACTTACAAAATATTACTTATTATTAAATACAATCATAATTATGATTATTGTATACAAATAATAATGTATAGTCGTCAATCTGATATCAAATATCTACGTAATATTATTTGCACTAATTATATTGTGCATATTAATAGTTCAAATTATAAACCAACATTATCTATAATTTTATAATATTATGAATGATAACCCGGTTATTATTTAATTTGATATCTCATAATTTTAGTAACAACAATGTATGATTATTATATTTAGTCCAATTTAAATTAATAATATATATCATTTACTGACGATAAATATATCGTTAACTTATTACGTAGATACCAAATATCTTATCCATTTTTTTATGTTCTCCATGATAACTCTCTTATTATATTAAAATAATAAATGCGAAAGTTTGTAGCATACGTGGATGGATGGTTTGTTACTCTTCCACGTAAAAACTACAGAACGGATTTGAATGAAACTAAACTTAGCACATATCATACTTTACATACTGATTGACGTGGGCGGAGCCGAGGGATACAGCTAGTTACGTAATAAAAACAAACTTCACTTTACAAGTTTGCACAGATAGGGCATTTGTTACAAAAATGCAAAAAATTAAACTGTAACCGAGAAAATAAAACGGATAAGATATATTTTAATGCATAACATATAGCATAGCATATATATAGCCCTGTGGTCTCCCCTCCTTTCTTTTAGCATGGTAAGAAATTGGGATCTCCTTTTTTTAGCATGGTAAGAGACGATTAAGGAAACTTAATGGTCGAGGATTTGGCAACAGCGAGCCTAACTGCGGCTGCCAATTCGCCTGCCAAGTGTGACAACTACTGGCAAAATCCCACTTATGGGGAAGGCCTATGTTCAGCAATGGACTTTTAACGGCTGATATAATGATGAGAATATATCATATTATGTCAACAATGATGATGTATATTTTTTTAAATAACTGCACAATGTATCAGAAAGTCCGAATGCAAGTGGTTCAGGACCGATATCTATAACAATCTATAGAGGAAAACAATGTTCAGACGAATTGATGATGATGAACATTGCATACAATTAACAAACTGCTAGAATAGAAAAGTTTTACCTTATATATATATTGATTATTGATTTTTGTGCATCTCATTCTTAAATGACAGTGACTTAAAAAACATGCCAAGATTGTTTACTAAACATGCAAAGTATAAAAAATACTTATTATATTTCGTCCATAAAAATTTGACAATATTATTGTCCGTAAACAACAACTTGTTATCCTATCTATTGCAATCTTAGTAATTAACTAAATAAATCGTATAAAAGAATACTCCCTCCACACGCCCATGACCTCGAAAAAGGCAAAAGTCAAGCCTACCTGTGATCTAAGGGGGCTCTTAATCAATCAATGTCTAATAAACTCCATCAATATCGAAACAAGGGTAAAATCGGATTGTTAATGTTCGTTAGAGTAAATTAGGTGATTAGGGTAAAAAATATGCAATTAAAGTGAAAGGACTTTCCGATTTCAAGAGAAACTGTTAAGACCTGCGCAGACGTGTGTTCTACCGCTTATACAACGAATTATATTCAGAGAAATTGTTTGTAATGGCGCCCACGGCCATCTTTTTTCATCGCTCGGATTGTCATTGAAGAATTCATCCTAATAGGCTAGAATCTAAATAGTCGCATACAGTACAATTTTAAAGGACTTTCATCCCGTAAATGCTTAGTCTATGAAATGAGCATGGTGAAGTTTACCCTAGAGACAACAGTATAGGGATCTTCAAAGGGGACGTATTAAGGTTTCTTCAAGTCCGGCAACGCGCGCGGCAGCCCCGGTGTTGCAGGTATTCACAGGCTACAATAACCGTTTATCATCAGGTGGAATGGGTTTATGTTTGCTACCTTTGTAGTATAAAAAATACGAATCATATTATGTCCGCGAACAAAATTTTACTTTATGGCTGCCTCGCCTGTCCAGGCTCTTAAGTCCAATGTAAAACAACACTCATAATATAATTTGAGGGCTTATTACAAACTTAAAACTTCTCAAGTTTATGTCACATGAGTTCAAACTGGCCAGATTTGTATATATATTGTAATGCTAATTTGAGATAGCTCCATTTAATTTGTAAAACTGTTAGGTATAAAATGCATATATAGAATGCCCCGTGATGTTAATAAATCACCTAAAATTGCTTGCTGCAAGTTGTAACACACACGTGTTGTGCAAGTACACGGCTTATACGAAGGGAAATTTTGTCCGCAAACAAAATATTTAATGAAGGCGATGTTGTAAAGACATGTCTCTACAACATCATAATTATACTTACTAATATCATAAATATGAATGAGATTGTTTGATTATTATCTCTTAGCCTTAACTGCTCGACCATAATATAAAAAGTATAAAAATATTATTTGGGATGGAGATAGCTATAGCATATAGGCTACTATTTGTCGATCAATATATCCCGTCACATGGACGCAGTCTCGGGTCGGCTAGGAATATAATAATAGTAATTTTTCGCAGGCTTTATTATTTTACTGAACTGAATGTTATTTTGCAGAAGTCCATATCAGCAATTAATTGATTATTTTGTTTAATTCCGCTACTATTAGCATGCATGCGACTGCCAACATTTGAAGAATATTATTATTAAGAGTTTATTCATTCTTATTACTTGTTACATTAAATCCAGTCGTTAAAACTATAATAAAAATAAACACTAATACTAATAAATTATGTTTATAATCTACAAATTATATTAGCGAATGCAAGGCTAGATATGATGAAAGTATATTAGTTTTATTACTAGTACTAGTAATAAATAGTAATATCTACTGATTTGATTTGATTGATCATTACTTATAAATAGCTTATATTTTCTAGTAATCATTGTAAGAGAACGATATCCCAACCACAGATAATTTAATATTATATCTATACCACATTATAATATATAGTATCAAATATATAAATATTTTTTCAATAATTAACTAGGGACGAAATTAATAACCGTTAATTATCAATTAAAAGTTAGCAACATAATCAAAATCAGCTACTGTTATAATTGAAGTCTGTTTGTTAATGGTTGAGAATTCAACAATATATCATGATTGAGTGGTTCATATCTCAAACTTAAACTTTGTATATTTTTTGTTCAAACGGATTAAGCGAATCGTGAGATTTAGTTTGACCCTTCCATAGTATAAAATTACGTATAATAATCTATGTTAGTAAAAAACATTCACAAAAAATCCCCTAGATGGTATAAGTATCAAATAATTCACATAACCTTTTTTATAAATTAAGTTAATTTAAACTAACACGCGGGCACAGCTAGTTTCGTAATGACATTTTATCGTGGAACGCTTATTATGTAGGAAGAATGCGTGACTAATTTATATGAGTTAGGTCGTAAAACATGTTCATAACAAAATAAATTTATACGTGCTTTAAATGAGTGTCATTTATTTTTGTTACATTACTTGGATGAATTTATATCAATTAAAAACACATATAATTAGAATGTTCTATTTTTATAATAAGAAAAAAAAACCAATAAAATGGATCCGATATAGTATCACACCATTTAAATAAAGTGGAAGATTTCAGATTACCATATCCGTCTATATGTAAATTTTATACTTTCTCTCGTTGTTATCTTTAGAGAGTTTCAATATATTGTAATATTCGCAAAAAAATATTGAGATTACATATTAAGATGTACATACATTATGTACGATACTAGTTGAGCACCGTCTTACCTATTTCTCACAGAGCAGCAATACATATCTTTTTGTTACAGTGTGTGGGCTGTCATTCAGTATAGTAGAATTCTCACAAGCAATAACGTATATTTCTTGTATTAGAGATGGGTGAATGTGAATAATGCATTCGAAATTTGAATGATGAACTAAACGCTATTCGAATTATTTATTAAGCTAATCGCTATGTGAATAAATTAATATTATTCGAATGTCTTAATATATTATAATTATTCGAATGCTGAATGAAAACGATGCTGAGTCAAATGATTCATTATTCTTTCAATCATTCAAGAAATTTTAATATTTCATTCCAATATTTGCAGTCTTCGTCGTGTCTTCTAATTGGAATAACGAAAACCGATTTGAATCATATTAAAAAATCACACTTCAAGACGGAGTTAGACTACCCCTTTTACTTCTTAAATTTTTGTTTAGTCGTAAACGCAAAAGGAATGCCATGGATACAACAATAAATTCTATCATACCCATGTTATTCAGATCTATATGCAACAGTTACTACTACATCGGGTTATCCGTTAACATGTTGGTTATTCTAAGTATTATAAAAAAGTTTTCATTACCAATTTCTCATTTTCATCCTCCATGTCAAGCCTGGCCGCGATGCAGTTCCTCGTATCGAGGAATGCGCGCCGCTGGGCCGTCTCCATCAGCGAGTGCATCAGCGCGCCCACAACGTTCACGCACACAAACACCACCACGTTGCCCACCATCTGTGTAAACAAACATTATCAATTAGCATAAGTGTTAATGTAACATTAATGGCTCACGACTCGTGCCATGTCGATTGCAATAATTTATTACGACTACTTAGACTTAACAGAGTATATGTTTTAAGAATGAAATGGAATGGTATCGCTGCTTGTGCTAAAGATTTATGCTAGTGAGATACCATTAAGGGATAATAGGTGAGGTTTGCGAATTCACCGGTAACTCGATGGTTTCCAGAAGAACCGCGTGCTTACCAATACTTGATATTTGTACTAATTCGCTATACTATTCAGAGGTATTGTGAAAACAAAAATACTGCAGTACAGGCAGACTAAATACTTTTACCACAAATATTTTAATTTTTATTAAAAAAAAATATACAGATGCTTAAATTAATAAACATCTATTTTTAAAAAAAAGAGAATTCTGAAAGGTTTTGGTGCCAGTTACACCACAGTAATGACACCACAGATAAATAGGTACTCTTCTTTTTGATAACCATGATGTGTACATTTTGTTATGCATAACAGAATAGTTATTTCCTATTAAAACTAATATTAAGTAAAAAAAAATATTGCTTCAAATAATAACAGACCATACTGCGTCCAAACTTACACTAGAAACAAGAAATGGGAATAAACAAGAGAATAACATACTAGAAGACTACTGGCAAAATCCCAAATAGGGGGAGGCCTATGTTCAGCAGTAGATAGTTAACGGCTGATATGGATAGATGGATACACAAAGAATGAACTATATGGACAAAGCCCTCGATAAGCAATATCGAAAACCACTAAAGTCATGACAGATATTGACAAAATTCCGGCTTTGGCTATATACTCTACATAACTAACTACTCTATATATCTACATAAATAAGGCTTAATATACTCGTAATAGATTCGTAGTTTGTAAAATTAAACCTAAAAAAAGATGCAAAAAAAAAAATGTTTTTATCATTTAAGGACAGAGAAATAAATGCAGGGAACGTTACAGGCTGAAGCTCCAATCACTTCGGTAAATGGAACGCAATCTATCAATGCTCCGTGAAAATTACCTGTCAAATGAAATAAAAGGTTTAACGTCCATTGTCGTCGATTAAACCTTAGAATCGTGGCCGTATCGAATGTTTGAAGAATGCATAATCTCATAATCAATCACCTGGGTATTACACGAAAAGACATTTATCGAGCCTAAACTCTTAAAAATGCGCCGATTTACAAAAAGTACACGTGAAATTCTCAATTCGACGGTGCTTTTTTGTATGTGTGTCAATTTTGATATTTTTTTATGCAGTAAGATAGAGTCAGCTTTTTGTTGTGATTTGAACAAAACGGTATATAAGTATTTAGGTTTTCTTATACCTCTATAATAGCAAACAAACATACTACCCGTCTGAAGGTAAACAGGATTACCATAGCTTATAGACGCCTGTTACACCAGAAATATCGCACATGTGTTGCCGACCTTTAAGAAACCTTTAGAAGTACTGAATAATTCGAATTCCCTCCATAAAATTTCTTTCAGATAAACTTATGGAAGCACATTTTTATAAAAGAGAGTTGTATTCCCGTTAAAAGCGCGACTGGTTTTACTGGAATTACTTATTTTTCAATGAAATTATATATACATATACATACACATATATTCATAGGTGAATTTAAGAAGAGCAGGGTGGACCATATCTACGAAAGTTTCACTACTGTAACCCAAAGTACCAAAAATTTTACTAGTATAGCTAATAAATATAAAATACTAATTTTTGAACCTATCTATCTATCCGTATAAAGGCGAGGAAGATCGCTAGTCTAAAATTTAAATAAAAACAAAAGCTGCAATTGTTTAAGTACTTATGAACATATATTAGAACACTTTTTTTCATTCATGCGTAACTACATATTTATTGTTATTGCATCATTTAATATATTTATGACGTTTATACAGTAGGCAGTGAGACGTGCATTATCCAGAATTAAGCAAATAAGACCTGTCGGCCGCCCGCGACGACGGCTCTGCGCCCCCGCATTTTGACTCATCATTATACTAAATATATTCCGTCGCATCGTTTGTAACTATTATTTATTATCTAGTATCGTATCTCACTAATCTATAAATTATAAACTATCTCATACTTTCTAAAGGCATTGGATCGTTTTTTGATAAACTTTGGGAGACTTTCTGATATATATATATATATATATATATATATATATATATATATATATATATATATATATATATATATATAAATATAAACAAAATGTATAAACCTAAAAAATAGCCTAGTTTATCCTTTTCTATACCAAATTTTATGACGACTGATTCAGCCAATAAGGCACAAACAACAGACAGCAAACCCATGCTGTAACCCACGGTTTTGCCCGAATGAATTGCAGTAAAAAGTATCATGTATTAATTAAAGTATTAGTAAGGATAACAGATACAGATTATCATTTCTGGAATAATTCTAAGGTAATGGGGCCTACCCCGTTACCTTGCTTGCTCCTAAGCAAGGCCGTAATAATGAATAAATAAAAATAAATAATTAATTAAGTCACGATAACGTTTTTACTTGTTGTATTTTTAAAGGGGAAAAAAGTTTGTAAAATTTACTTCAGACAAGAGTTACCTATCTACATATACCTCTATACATATTGTGTATTTCTATAATATAAAAAAACACAATCAAAATTAAGCACTTTCTTTTTACTTATTGATTAATACAAACTTATTATCCGTGCCGTAAATGATATATTTACAACACTAGTTACACTTATAGCTTTATTAAAAAAAAAAAAACTAATTGGCAGGTGTTCGGAATCCGGGACGATAAAGTCTATTTACTGGGAAAAACGAAAAATTCCAGTACATACCAGATTTCCCGGCCATCTGGTAAGTATAATTAACACACATGCGCCAGAAACAAGATTACCTTGTACTTGCAAATATAAAAATGTTTATTTTCATATCTAAATAAGTACCTAAACAGCTTAGACGTAAAAACAATTGTTATTAGTAAACAATAATATAATTGGAGAGACGCTTAGTGTTATCAAAAAAATGTTGTTAAAGCCTGTAACTTCCAATAGGGTCAATGTACGATTACTCCTACTCTTGGCACGTGGATTAATCAAGGATATAGTTGTTCTGTATATTAAATTTCATTTCAAATCCATTTAGTTCTTTACACATGATTGAGCAACATATATCCAAATATTTACACATCCAAACAGCTTTACAATCTTGGATATTTATAAAAGTAATTTATAATAGCTAGATATGTTCTATACATGTCACATATGACAAGCGTGAACGCCCAAAGTGTGCTTAATTGTTCATATCATAAATTCGGCTCCTCCTTTTAACTGTACCATATCAGATCGGTCAAATAGCACATATATAACAACAGAGTACAGTCGTCCAACACTATGACGTGAACATGCAATGATTAATGGTCATGAGATAAAATAAAATCATTGCATTACACTATTGTAGTTGTTTACATAATTTACAAATACATTTTCTCCATAAAAATAAGCTTTAATAATGAATACACAGGCGCTAGTGAAGAAAAAGATAATTATAAGGAACAAAAAATAAAATCGACTACTATATGGGATAAAAAGGATACATGCTATTTTTTGTCCCGATTAGTAAACATATCCCGATCACGCGGATGAAGTCGCACGTAATAGCTAGTATATAATAAACTTGTGAAACAGTCATTATGTAACAAGACGAAAGTATTTATTTAAATGTGGCGTAAACAGGGACACCACGACACTTTCTGATGTACTTATTGATACGAGGTAGGTGAAGGATAAATTATGAAATACGTTTTTACTAAAGATGGAATTAGACTCAAATAATATGAGCTACAACTTAGAACCTGATACTAAGCTAAAATAACTAAAGATTCATCTTAGCCATTCTTAAGAACGTGTTTATGTACAAAACAAGAATTGAAAAAAAAAAACAGTAAAACAAGATTCGTTCGATTAGCCTAATTTACCCTAAAAGTATCACATGCTTAATCAGTAAACAAATTGAAAAAAAAAAATTCAAAAGTTTTTTTTAATAAAGTAATTTTGTGTATTATTCAATTATTTTTAGGTACGCAATAATCTAAAAAAAAATAGTATACAATCATTATGCATCAAAATAGGTTATATATAAATATACAAATAATGACAATGACAGTTTAACAAGTATATTTTGTTTAGCAAAAAAAAACGCTGACTTCAATCACGGCAAAACAAGTCAATATAAATTTAGCCTTTAAAAAAAATAATTTTCTAAATCGGTTTATAAATCACTCAATCAGTTCTGAGGTAACAAACATAAGCAAAACAAAATATAATCGAATCGAGAACCTCCGTTTAGTCGACTGAAAAAATCTTATTACATATTAAACATTTTAGTTCGCTATAGATAATTTTAAATACATTAGAAAAAAATAAAAATTGTTTTCGAACTTGATAGGTAAAATATGTTGCCACATTTCGACATAAACATTCTTAACTCGATACTCTCTCCGTCCTTGTTTAACAAATGGATAAATTGAAATTATTCATTTATAAAAGGCGTTACCATGCATTATCATTCCTATCATTATCTCGTTTCGTTTGGGGGAAAATGTGTTTTCATTTCTTGTCATTACCAGTCTTTTGAACACCATTTACATTACTTACAAATAATAATTTTATACTTGTACGCCCGTTCGTTATTATCAAAATTCAACCGCTAACTTACGACTACTCTGATAAGAATAAATAATGTCTACTCGTATGTGCCACTCAAATTGATTTATTAAATCTCTTATGCAAATAAATTACATTGTTCGATGTCTACATCAATCTTCTTGGAGAAAACTATCAACTTGTTTTTTTTTTTTTTTTCTAATTATTTCTATATATTTCAAATTAAGCACGTAAAAAGACTAGCGACCTGTCCTGATTTGGCACGGTTTTTTTAATAAAATACAATCATGTAGGTACTCGCTGATATGGCAGTTTTCTATAGGTAAAAAACGATTATATATATTTTTTAATGTATCCATTACAAACAAAAATATCATCTTTTCTCTTTAGAATATTAGTTTAAATCAGCGATCTGACTGACAGATCGACCCATTTTATATTAAAGAATATAGTAATAGTAAATAGTAATTTCTCTTATACTGTAGCTAGCTATGAAAGGGTTTGTCAAAAATATCTAATAATTTATTTTGTTCTTACCACATCAGCCGTTATCTGTCCATTGCTGAACATAAGCTTCCCCGTATTGGGAGGTTTTGCCAGTAGTTGCCACGCTTGGCAAGCGGATTGAAAAACGCAGATTCTTCTAAAAATCATCGTGGTTGTATCTAAGTAAATAGATTCCCCATAATGGGCCAAACGGCTCATTTTCCGCTAATGCCCTGTTATTATTGTACACCATTAACATATGTAGATGTACTATTCCATTTTCATCGATTGAAAAAAACATACATATAACTTTATTCAATTCTCTATTACATTATCAATCTATATTTTTTATCTACGTCATAATACATATGAATTCCTAACGTAGTATGGCCGCCTGGGATCAGAGACGAGGGTATGATTTGCTTTCAACAGAACATGATTACCTATTGAAAGCTATCTAAAGATAAAAAGGTTCGTATCGAAAGTAAATATACCTACTGTTAACGTTATCCAAGCATTGGACTAGATCAAAGAAACATCTCACTAAAGTACAAGCTACGAGCTCAATCGGAATACACAGGTTGAATTTGCCTATACCTGACTACAGTATTGATGCTCATCCCTTCTTACTAATATTGATACAAAATATCAATGTAACCGATTAGTAAACCGATAGTTATTTATGTTACATTTTAACTAACTTAAAAATAGGTGGAATTTATGAAATATGTAATTTTATATTTGTATATTTTTACTTGTTAAAACTTAAATAGATTTTTTATGTAATAAACAGCTATTGAATTTTTTTTACACTACTATGATAGCAAACAAGTATACGGTCCGTCTGATGGTAAACGGGGTTACCGTAGCATATGGACATCTTTAACACCAGTGATGTCACGCGCATTTCCGCCGCTTAAGAAACCTTAACACGCAATTTTGAAGAACCTCATGCTGTAATCTCTAGCAAAAGGCTCAGATTTTATAAAAAAAAAAAAAAAAATCTTCTAAGCTATAGCTAATTTGTGCAAAAAATATAGGTACTTCTGTATTCATTACCGTAAAAGAAGGTTATAATATCGACGATCAATTTACCCGCACAAAGCGAAAATGATAAAACTAGCGCAAACTAATTGATTATAGGCACTCAAGCCTGTCATTTATTGGAATTACAGAACGGAAAAAAACTAGTAGAAATAGCATCGCACCGCAACATTTATCTATTTTTGACAAGGGGTAAAGAACTGATGACAAACAATATGTTATCGTTAGTTGTTACGAATAGTTTATATTTATATATTTACATTTATGTATATAAATAAAAATTACTGTTACCATATGTGCGTATTCGGTTATTTTTTCAAGTATTCTTTGAAATCCGAGAAACATTTTAGTGGAAAAAATTTTGGAAAATTGTAAAAAAAATATATAAATACAAACATCCGTCGGCGCAGGTAGTACTTAATATATACAATAAGAAATATAAATAGGTCTACATGACATCAAATCAGTACATATATAATATGACAGAAAAAAATATGTAGGTATATTTTGACATCGAAATAATAACTATTTAAAAATTCCACGCTTATTTTTTTTAACTTCCATTGTTTTATAGATTTAAGGAGTTTTTATTATAATTACAGCAAATTAATAAAATACAGTTCAATTGTTGTATCAGCCGTTAACTATCCGCTGCTGAACATAGCCTCCCTCATAACTCTTTAACCCCCTTGTGGAGATTTTGCCAATAGTCGCCACGCTTGACAAACGATTTGGGAACCGCAGTTTGGCTTTTGATGATGTTTTTACAGTACTACCTGATTATATATGTATAAATTGATCTTACAATTTGACATTAAAATTTGGTATACAGATAAACAATACTCGTGTTTTAAATACACACATAGAGTATTTTTTACCGTAATATAATTTTAATAATGCCGTGAGTACATCTAATCCTAGTCCTTCTTATGTCATAAATACGAAAATTTGTGAGGATGGATGGATGTTTGTTAATCACGCTTAAACGACTAAACGAATTTGATTTAATACACAGATTATATCCTAACTAACATAATCCTATCTTTGTACACTTCATATACTGATGTATACGGGTAAAGCCACGAGAAATCGCTAGTTTTATAATAAAACGATTTTTTATAACAAGTCGCAAGTCAGGGCACAAGTTCTACCGGCACATGTCCCGGAATTTCTATTTTGTGATCAAAAGCGTTCAAACGACTAAACTTTTTAACCTATAAATAAATTTAACTGTGAAAAAACACTGACGGCACTACGCTGGATCAATAAGCAACGAAAATAAATCCATGTCTCTATTTGAAGTCGTCAAAAAAACAAAAGTCAATATAAAATGGGAATTTAAGAGAAGACCGATAGACCGGGATACTATGTATAAATCACAGATTGTATTGACCCAAAAAGCATTTAAATGTTAAATGAGTAATCATTGACGATTCAACTAATATAATATGCATGTTAATATATAAATAACAACCACATGTAATTAAGATTTTTTGTGTGCATATTGTTAATATAGATTAAACGATAGATATTATCGTATCGTTTGAGGAGAATAAAAGACTTTTCACTTTATTTCACATTCGACAACCTCCGTGACGCTCGTGAGCACATTGATTTGTGTAAATAAGGTCCCGGTTCGATTCCCAGTCGAGTTTAGGTTTAATTTACGAAACGAATTTCAAAAAGTTCATCACCTTATTCCTAATAATAATGGGTATTCTAAGTTGAGGACCGGGTAATTAGTGTGGTCGTGTGGCACTTATAATATTGTAATGATATAGTATACCTATGTATTATACCTAACAAGAATGACAGACATACCCTGTAAACATGAATCTCATTTGCTCAAAATTGGCATCTAAAAACATAGGATAACTATACCTTAATAATGATTATATTGGTATTTATAAATAAAAATATGAGTATAATATTCTTTTTTTAAATATAAAATATACAATCTAGTAACATACTCATTCACCTGAAGCACTCAGATTTAATTGAAAGCAATCTTCTCTTACGTAAATCTCTCTATTGAATACTTGCTATGCATAAATAGGACTAAATCCTTACAAATAATAAGATTATACAAATGTGAAAGCTGTGAAATTACATTAAAAGTAGGTACACATAGAATTTGTTATGGATAAAGACATGTTACATAAATGCCTGGCCACACGAACAAATTCACAGGTACTAGTTAATTATTTATTTATGTATACTTTATTGAATACACTGATAATATATAAAAATATGACAGACGTAAGTAAATGTACAAAGACGATCTCACTACAAGAGTTCTCTTTCAGCAAACCAAATTTGAAAGAGCCTCAATATTAATGAGTAGAAATGACAAGTCTTTGTTGTGACAAATAACAAACAAAAAGAACTGAATGAAACTTCAATTTATATATAGCCAATTATATTATAATTAATTTTGTGTATACACATATACACAAACACATATACTTACATATTCATACATATAAATATGTTCATAAAAGTTTTTAAATCTGTTTTTAAAAATTTGACTTTCACGGATAGGTAATTTCACAATCTAGCAGTGTGAACGACATTATAATTACAAGTCTTATGTAGTATTACATTTCTATAATTGTATATATAGTTTGTATATAGTATAACTATTTATGAAAATAATTAATCTCTCTGGACCCGTTCTGTTTCTATACACCAGATGTTCGCCTAATGAATGAGTTTCTTATTCGGTACCTATATACAAACTAAAAGCATTCACAATAATTCCATATATAGTATATATGAAATGCTATAATAGTATATATGAAAGCTGTGCCCTGTTGCTTAACTCAGGTGAATTAGGATAAAAACTACATTATTTATTAACCTATAAACATAATCATGTCACTATCTTCATGCCCTTACCCCAATTGCATATCTATGTGAGGTCGGCGTAATATGTTTTCCTCTTGCATTTATCTCTATTCACAGTAATTTCCGCATTCACTTCAATTTTAACCATATCATATTTTACACAGACCATCCATTTCTTTTTAGGTCTTCCTCTACCCTTACAGCCATCACCACATTCATATTTCATGTGTGTACGAAATTTCAAAGGTTCAAACAATCCAATTTAATTTAAACGTACATTTATTAGATATATCTTTATTAATTAAATAGTATAAAAAAAGTCGCTGACAAATTGCGATCCACGTAACGGATGTTGATTGAGATTTCATTGTCATTTAGATATTTTTTATGAACGATTTGTATGTAAAAAATATGCTAATTAGCAGGCATGCGGAGACAGGGCGGGTGGCTATTTTACAATATATCAGAAATCATTCCAGTGAGTTGAAGTATTGATATGATACAGGAAACATAACATTTGAGTCTAGTCTTCATGTATTCAAGGCTGCCACGGGTGACTGTGTATTCTGTGATACTCATTGTTCACGACTATGAGCGACAGGCAGTCACTATTCTGTTTCACGAAATAAGGCTGAATTATATAATAAATTATTAGAACTATTGAGGACAGAACGGGAAAGATGTTGGGACACTTGATACGATACGACGAACTTATGAACATTATAATAGAAGGTAAGATACAAGGAAGGAGGGGAAGAGGGAGACCGAGGCATAGTTACATCAGGCAGATCAAGAAGGAGTTATAGTTACATCAGGCAGATCAAAATCGAAGGAGTTAGTGTCGTGTTACATCAGGCAGATCAAGTATCAAGAGGTGAAGAGACTCGCTGAAAATCGTAGTGAGTGGCAAGAGCTCCACCGACAAGAGCGCAGCTCTTAAATATGATAGATATATAATAAATTATCGTATAATATATTGTTCTCTATTCTCCTTTAGAATGACAACGCATGGGGGGTATCACAGGCATCACAATAGATTCTGTGATATTCACGGTGCTGTTTCAATCTGTAGGCGACCGTTACGTTTGTCATTTCATAGAAACATACTTTATTTCTAACAGTTGATGTCTAAAAGAATAATACTGAAGTTTAATCCTTTTATTTTAGCGGTTTGTTTATCCCTGGAGAATTAAATATACATTCGTCCATTTACAAATAAAACTATGATGGTTTAACTCGTTTTTTCCCATCACGTACTTCTACTCTTACATCGAGTACTTTTTTTCTGTATACAAATGCGATTAGTTGGTAACTTGAGATGGCTGATATAAAGGAAACGAGAAACCAAGACTATTATTTTTTAATACAAATAACATCCCCTTAAATTATATAAATAAAGTGTCTCTATAGAAATGCTTCGAGAAAAGCGGGTCAACTTTCATATATTTTTGCGTGATAGATAGTTATGAGCGATTATAACTTCTATATTTATTTTGTCTTAAAAATTTTGCACCTTTTTAATGCGTAACATCTCATTTATTAAATAATTAAATATAGATACGTCAAGATACATTGTGTGCGGAAGTATATAGAACATTAATAAAAAAAAACGAGTCAGCTAATTTTACGAGTAGCTAACAAAAAGTTGACCCGTTTTTGAGGCTCGATGCTCTATCTATATAATCTAAGAATATTCTATTACTGAGTAAAAACATATAAGAATACTTCCATATAGTTTGGTCAACATGCAGAATCATTCAATCAATCATTTATTCAGTCATTACGGAGTGAGTTGCTGTGTCTAACTCACATTTCGTTTATTAATCAAAACAGCATCTTAGAAGGATACTCAATAATGCAATTCATTTGAGATCGATATATTGATACGATCCGTAACTTATGTATCGTGTCAAATGTATTATAGAAAATCGTTGTAACATTAGAGACAAGTAAACACACAATACAAATAGACGTGATCCGAATTCGCTAACGTAGCCTGTTTTATTAGTTGACCTATTCTTACACACCAATTGTTTCACGTCGGAGGTCAACTAATACAGGTCATCTGTAGCAAAATAATAGGTTTACCGCCGTCTTATATAAAGGTCAATGCCCAATATATTAAAAGATTATGACCGGAACCGTAGCGATGTCGATAAAAGGTACATCTTTTTTATATAATAACAATTTCTCTTAACAAATTTTTTCAAACAAATCAAGATTGTCTAACAATCGTCTAACAATACAAAAATCTAAAAATTCAATAGATAAATAAAAATTGTAAATAATGTATTACAATAGCTGACTTTTAAGGATGAAAATTTTGTCAAAATATTTAGTCTATTTTTTTTAGACAACTAAATTAATGTTTGTATTTTTTTTTTTGTTGTTATTCACATTTGACGCGTTGTAATTGCACATTGTGGTGAGTCCATGTAGTCCCGACATATGATAGGCCATCCCTTTCTTTCACGTGGGTGTCGTAAAAGGTAATTCTTATTATTTTGATTATATTCAGCAGTGAACCTTCTTCTTTTTGAAGTCAGTTGAAAATACCCATCACTACATAGCATAAAACAAAGTCGAATCCCGACTGTCTGCCCCTATGTACGCTTAGATCTTTAAAACTACGCAACGGATTTTATTGCTTTTTTTTTTTAATAAATAGAATGACTCAAGAGGAAGATTTATATGTATAATATAATAGAGAAATACTGATAATTTTAGGTTTCTAATGTAATATCATAATGTAATGGGGGGCCAGCGGCGCTAATTATTATCAGCATTGCACGCGTGCGAAGCCGGGGCGGGTCGCTAGTTATAGTATAAGATATTCATATTGTTCATTTATTGATACTTAAGTAGTTTTAGATACTGTGTGTCAATTTTTAATTACACTTATAAACTCATGTTTTTGACAGAATTACGTAATTTCAAGTGCAATATTTGACATTATGTCTAAGCTCATATGCCACAAGCCCCTAGTCTGACATCACACCTATACTTTTATTGATTATTCAAACATAGTATGAGTGGTAAGAAAAGTTTTTATGAAAAGCACTATTAATTCGGGGATTCTATATAATAGCTTGACCATGACATATAGTTTACTGTTACGTCTGTCACCAGACAGTTTATGGTATCAGTTACCTAGGGCATTAAATTATTTATAGATATTACGTCACTCTGTAATGTCTAATTATTATAACTAAGTCCATCTATATTTGAAATTGATGAAGTTTAGACTAATAAAGTTATTTTTTATGTATATTATGCACTTTATATCATTTGGCAACATACTTTATAGTGATTGCTATGCCCTTTTGGCATCCAACATGAGGTCTGTTACATTTGCCTTCACTCATCTTTTGTCAAGGTCTATTTAGTGAATAATTTTCCTCTGGTGTTATTTGCACTTAGTAGGTTAAATTTTAGGAAAGGATAAATTTTAGTGAAGGATATATTTCCACTAATACTTAATTAAAATTTTCCGAAAAGGAAATATTAAGGCTTTTTTTGAACCGGCAATGCTCATGTCCTTACTGCTAGAGTTGCTGGCATCCATAGGATACACACGTAATGTCACGTATCCCCTTGCGGAGGGATGACAACCAATTCCGGACGCTTCGACTCCCCCTCCCCCCTTCATCGTGACGAATTCACCTATAATTAATTATGATGTTTTCCACCCCCCTCTCTTCAGTCGTACACTCTTGGCAGAGTGGTCGTTTTTCACAATGACGGTGGATCGTCGGTGAGGCTTCGCGATTGAGGTCTAGTTTAACTATATACCACAATAGATTTCTGTGTGGCATATAGTTAAACTAGCTACTGAACTAGTGGCATCAATAATTTATAAATAATATTTTTGCTTCTTAAGTATACAAGTAGAATGACCCAAGAGTACACTGAATTATTTATAAGAGCATTCATAACGAAGTATAGCAACGTTACATCACGTCAAATTGTTAATTAAATTGATTTTGAAAATTATTATATAATAACGAAATTGTCAAACTGCGGTAATTGTGAACGCTCCTATCAAATAAATATACACATACACTAAAATATAACAAAATAACACTTAGCTTTTAGCAAAGTAGACGAATTCACCTATCACTTTTGCTGTTAAAGTCGTATACTAGTATAAATGTGTACTGACCTGTTGCCAAACGTGGTATGGAAACCGATGAGCGACGAGCGCCGCCGCTATAGTATGAACGGTGGGCAGAAGTATGCCAAAAGCAGCAGCGACGGGGGCGCCAACCGGCAGCAGCGCATAGGCGGCGAACACCGCCCAGACGACATGAGCCGCACCCTCGGCGGCGGCGCTGGGCGACCAAGCTGGTAGAGTGGCGGCGAGTGCCGTGCCACCGCCGGCCAACGCAAGCCAGCACGCGCGTGGCAGCCGCCGCTCGGGGGCTACGCCACCAGTGCGACCGCACCACCATGCCAGGCCGCCGCACAAAAGAGCATGCGCGCTCAGTACACCCACCTGGACAATATTTACATTTTTACAATCATAAAAAAATAATATTACTAGTGATATCGAAATCTACTGAAAAATTAACGAATCTCTCTACTAAGTGAAAAGTTTTCCAAAGTTTTATTGGGATAGAAAAACTAGAAAAAATCACGTTAGAATGAGAAACTCGAAATTTAATCTGGCTGTTTTTTTTTTTTTTGAGAAAATTATTTAGTTACACTAGTAGAACACTACCATAAAGAATGATGATTATTACAATTTTACCCTTTAGCATATTTTTCATTTACATCCAATAGTAATAATTAATTACTCCAATTAGTATATTTGTGATATTATATAAATATAACTAATATAAAGTAAGTAAACAGACAACCATCCAACCAAACGATCTAACAAAATGCTTGTTAAACAATAACTCGTAATTCAATCAACTGAACAAAAAGGACTATAGTTTTTTTTTCAGTTGATTTTATTAAATACTAAATACATACACAAAGAAGGCAAGTAAACTTAGGTAGCATTATCCTAACATACATGTGTCAGTGCATTATTTGTCCTCCAAGAAAATGATTCATAACAATTAACTCACTATTTCATGAACAAATTGCAAAATAAGAGAGAGAGAGAGAGAGAGACAGCAGAAATGTCTTACTAGCTAATTGTGGTTGAAATAATAAGTACATACTCGTATGAACATAACACACGAAATGTATTTCTGCATGTTATTGTTGTGAATAATTTGTAGTATATAAAGCAAAATACATAATACTATATATGTATAATTATAGTACACATAATGTGCAGAAAGTCTAATAAGCTTATCTTTTTAAGCGCATCTCTTAACTATATGTTTTATTACATTATTTCAGTCATTGTTTATGAAATTCGCGTCTCCGTCGACGAAAATTGGCAACACAAGTTATGTTACTTGTTGACCTATATTTATTTAACCGTTTCATCAAACAGCTACTGACAGTAATAAAGCGATCAACAACATAGAACCAGGAACAAAATATTTGGACCTATAAATCTCATTCTATTATTATTGTGTATATATATATATAAATCAGAACGAATTCTTATTCATTTCCAAATTTTTTTTTAATTATACAAAAAGTTTTAAACAGTTCTTGCTTTCTGATGAAAAATTGCTACTACGTATACAGATTTTAGGAGGATTACTTATTTGAAATATATATAAAATAATATTTTCTCAAATTTACTCCTCAAGAATGGCAACGAATGAGAAGTAGCATGTCGATGCAGTATATTGTGTGATAGTCATAATACTATTCATGTCTATAGGCAATGATTATCACCATTAAAAAAAATATCAGTTTGTATACCAGGTCAAGTTGCTAGAAAAAAAATATAATAAACCTATACCAAGCAAGCTGATTAGCGTGATGATAAAAGGATAGTGCTCTTGCTATTATGGAATAAGATACGACTTAAAAAAAGAGAGGAGAATCTTTTTCAAGAATCTTCGTCAGGCTAATTGAGAACAGCTCGAAAAATATAAGGCAACCAATAATTTTTGTCTCAATGCAATACTGTATTCTCGCAATACTAAACCAATTTGATACGGTATAACAGAATTATTTATTACACCTATAATATTTGTAAATATTTACTGTAGAAAAGTATAAGTACGTATTCATAAACACGCACGTAAATTTATAGGTCGTTCACACTACTCTGAGTTCTCAGTTCAATCAGTTGTTATGTGTGTTAGAGATGCAATTAAAATATAATTTAAGTAATTTATTTTCTTTGAACTTGGCTGGACACGCTATCTAGATATATCTATAGTTTTTATTTTTAAATTCCTTTATCTATAGATAAGTGTATTGTTTAATAATTTAAGATTGTGTTCCACAGAAAATCTGACTTCAACTATGCCAAAACCATTTATTTTCGATTAAAAACTAATGAATCAATTTTGATTAAATTTCTGTAAATTTGATTAAAATCCGTTTGTAAATGTTGGAGCTATAAACATTAAAAAAAATACAATCAGTTTGAGAACTTCCTTCTTTTTGAAGTTCTAAAGTTAAAAAAATCTATTTATAAGCATGAAATGAACACAAAAATGAGAGCAAAGAAATGGAGGAGAAAAGCATACTTCAACGTTTCCAAATAACAAAACAAGGTCTCTTAGCATGTTGATGTTTTGTTTTCGTTGTCAAAATAAAAAACACGCCTCGAATTTGTTAATTAATGAACTGCTAATTATATCCGAGGGGGTTGAATCGAAGGAAAGCCTACTACGTAATACGCGTGAGTTAATTATAACTTAAGGAAATGACGTCACTTATGAAAGTACTGCTCTGCAACAACTTGTCATTTAAATATGTTTATACTGGGCCAAGTCACAGTATTTTCTAGAACAAAAATAAGAAATTAAGATAATTATAAAATAAACTAAATCTAATTTGATAAATAGGTTTTATAGGTATAGATATAAATAGGTTAGAACAAAAATGTTTTGGCTTATTTTTTACGTTTATTACGTCACTTGCGTCACGTTAGTAATCAAGAGTTTCTCGAAACTGAAATAAAAACTCAACAGACAAGCTTTTTTTTGTTCTAACAGTAATCTCATTACTAATACGCATTTCTGAAATAGCATCATCATATCAGCCGTTAATTGTCCACTGCCAACATATGCCTCCTCCTATTGAGGGAGTTTGCCAGTAGTTGCTACGGTTGGCAGACTGGTTAGCAACAGCAGTTAAGCCTTGGTGAGGTTTTAAGAGGGACGCTGCTGCCCACATCTCGAGTGTACTTAATTACCTCTTACGACACCCACAAGAAAGGAAGAGGTAGTCTAGTCAATGCCGGGACCACAAGAATTGTAATTTTATAAATAATACTATAAAATAGAAATAATATCTATTTTACACTGACACAAGGAAATTAGTTCGTAATATGGTCGCAATTGTATCAAGTATCCACAGTACTCCTATTTACATTATGCTAAAGCTCAAATGAGGATGCGACAAAATGCCCCCAGCAACCAATAACGGCCGGATATTATGTTGTTGAATTCCTCTTTTCATGGTTGTCATTTGTAACCTTTTAAGCGACTTTCAAAAAAGAGGAAGTTCTCAATTCGTCTGTATATTTTTTGTGTAGGTTACACGATTATTTCATCAACAGTGAACCAACTTTGTTAATTATTTTGCAATTAATTGAATTTAGGTGCTCCTGTGTTTGTCCCATATTAATTTGTTTACGATAGAAGTCACCGTTTTTTTTTTTTTGCAAAACAAAATAAAATAAATTTATATTATTAAAAAAAAGTAGCCACGATTGTTCACTAAATTATCGACTATATAATATTTTTCAAAATACTTACACTTGTACTTTGTTCCACTGTCTTCATTCAAAAGTTTTCATTATTTATACACGACACCGGTTTCGAAACTTCATCTTCAGGCATATCTTACTTATATAATGAAAATTGTAACTAGACATAATCTGTACATGGGAGATTTTTAAGAAAAATTAATATGAGGGGTCTTAAAAAGGACAATAAAAACCGAAAAAAGATTTTTTAACAATGTTTTCTATTTGCCTGGCTGTCTGTATGCTTGTTTTGATATCACGCTAAAACTACTGCACCAAAATAAATGAGATTTTTAACAGTTGTCTAACTAAAGGTTTAATTGAAAAACTAATATATATGTATTACCTTGATACGCCACCTATAAGTGGTTTATTTCAAGGGTTTCCTACTTCTGAAATCCACGCGTAAGAAGTAGCGGGCAAAAAGCTATAATAGTTTATAATATAATAACTTATTGGTATAGAATACCCCTTATTAGCACTGAGACGCATTCCATACATTTTTGTCCATCCTTCTCTTTTGATAATAATAAGATGCAAAAAGCTACGATCCTAGATTCCTCCTTGGAGCCTGGAACTCCAAACGACTACTACTTTTTTGTCGGGTTATAAACCATCTCTCTTTCGTAAAGGAAATATATTTAATTATAATGTTAATATATGACAAGTTGCTTGCTATATTGGAGCCTTTTCTCGGACTAGTTTAATATTATTAACAGGTGGCCTTTATAACTTCGGAGCGTACAGGGACAAGTGCAGAAAGCAAGTGCTGTTGAAATCCTATTAACATTACAAATGTGAAAGTTTATAAATATATTTGGATGTTTGTTACTCAATTAAATTTTAATGATATATGATACATGAGTTAGGTTATATTCTAATTTAACACACAAACAAGTATTTTAATTATAGACATGAGCAGTACCATGGACATAATAGAGTATACTTTATAATTATAAAGGATTCCTCTGTTAAAACGCCATATCATATATAACAACTAATTAAACACGAATGGGACAGTGCAATCGACTTTTGTACAAAGTACGCCACCCACGCGTAGCATCGACTGCAGCAAGTGCGGCGGCGAGCGCTGCCCACAACGCCAGCGCTGAGCCGACGGAGGTGCGCTGCAGCTTGCAAGCATACCGCGCGTATAGCTCTTCGAGCTCGGCGGACTCGAAGCGACGACGCGCCACCAACCTAGCGAGCGGCCCGCGGGCCGACATCGCTTTCACCGCATGGTCCATACCGCCCGCCACGGCCTCACCTCGCTGCCGAGCGCACTACCGTCCGCCCGCGTCGTCTCATCTACCAACAAATATTAAACAATAATATAATTTAAAAAAAATCATAAATATTTGAAATATCAAAACACAGATTTTAACGCTAACTTAAAGAAAAAAAAAGAATTAAGTGAAACAACAATGTCGCCCTCGACTCGTGTGTGTTATGCAATGCCTTTTAATTTTTGGTTCATATAACTGGCAAACATGCTGACGAACCATATGGAAAGTGGTAACCGACGCTTATAGACATTAACATATCATGAATGTGACAGAACATACTGGGATACCTATGGTAGTCGTACCCCACATACGTTATCACACCTGAAAACTAAGGTGGTATGTCTGCACACGTTACAGTTTCACTGCCATATTTTTCATATTACTAGGAAAATGCGACAATTCCGCCTATTCTAAACCATTAAATTAAAATCGGTGTAGAAATTTATAAGCAATTAGGAAAAGAAACTGATGGTTCACCAATAGATAAGAAGGGCCATCACCATAGGATTCATAAAATATACTGTAACTGATTAAAGATTGTATCCCACAAAAAATACCGACTTCAATTGTGACAAAACCAGTTATTTTGGTTTGGGATCAAACTGTAAGTATATCATTTCAGATCAGAATAATATTCGAAATCGGTTTAGAACCAACAATGTGACAAACAAAAAAAGATAAAACCGCATCAAGAACCTCGTTCTATTTGAAATCGGTTGAAAGTGCGTTGCCATTCCCGAAGATTATGGTTATGTGCCTCCCTAATTTTACAACCCATTAACTTTCCACAGCTGAATACAGATTCTTTCCATAGGAGGTGGATACAGCCTACTATTACCACGCGGATCAGGCGTCCTGATTTATTAGATAGATATATAGATAGATATACCCTTTATTGTTTCCTCCAAAAAATTACAGTAGCAAACTTATTGTAGATACAAACAATTACAAAAAAAAATATCACACTGAGAAAACAATGGATGGCTTTATCGCTAAAAGTGATCTTTTACAGGCAACCTTTGGATAAAGATGAGTAGTTATAAACAGTTTGATTGTAGGTACTTATTACTATTAGGATTTAATTCGAGTTATCCTTTTCTTGCACTGGTCTTTTATTATGGGATAAAAAATTTACAACTCCGCCTGCACTATTGATATACACGCAGGCGATGACCCAGTAAAGGATAACAGGTGTAACTTGTATGTTACAGCGTCTTAAAGGCACCAATCACTGTAAAATTTGGTATATACGTACTATACTATTATTATTATAATTATATGGGATGAAGAACGCTATAAACTACTTTTTATCCCGGTCAGTACACATATTCTGATCATACGGACGAAGAGGTAGATGTACTCTAGTGAATAATACATATTATTTGAAGATTATTTTATTCATGCGCGCGAATACCTACACAAAACACTGACAATCGTTATTCAGTAATTATTTCAAACCATAGTTGTTATCCAAAATATCACGAATTATATACTCGGTACAAAGTAGAATGAGAGTTATTTATAATAACTACGTACACAAAACACCAGTTCAATAACTTTAAACTCAACCTAATTTTCTTTTAATAGCGTAGTAAAATTAATAGCGTGTATAATAGAGTATTTATAGACTTCATTATAATAAATACCTACTACAAAAAAAGTTTATAACAGCGTTTCAGACCGATTGCGGTTTTGATCTACAAATAAATACTATTTATCATTTTATATTTAGTTTTCTGTAAGAGTTTGGTTTTAACGATACACTCCCATTTGTAATTGCACATTCTATATTGATATTCCATTTATACTTGTGCACAATGAAAAATGTGTCAGGTAAGACTTTAATGAGGCCTTTCCGACTGCAGTTAGAACCACTGTATAAATCACTCACGGATTTCATACTTGATCTATTTTCATCATAAACTGCGAAATAATGCTTAATTCTTTTTTAAACAATCTCAAAAAAAAAGGATTTTACTTATCTTTTTATTTGTAAAAAAAAAATAAAAATAAAAAATATTTATGAGCTGATTCTGATTATTAAAAACATGATACAAATAAAATACTGTTATCATACAGTAGTACAAACCATATTTCGTGCGAATCGACCAAATAAGCAAAACAGTTTTATCGCGGTTCTAGTAATACAATAAGCACACTTAAGATTTGCAATTTTTGTTATTCCAATGTAAGAATATAACGGAATTGTACGTACATATATGAATTCTGCTACTCGAGCAAGCGTAACCGTATTGAAAGAAATTCCTCACGAACATACGAGCATTATCCATTTCTAGATTCACTTTAACGTGTGAGTCTATGGAATGGAGTTGTATTCAACTGCGAATTTATTATATAGCTGCAGAATAAAAGAAACAACCAGTGATTCAATGCAATGCTCTGCGTATACATGCCCGTTGGAAGACTGGTAAAGAAAAGTTTCTTAGGCTATGCATATGACATACGCTGTAGTATGACGCTATAGCCTTAAGGCAGGAGGGTAGACAAATCAGGATCACAAGTGGAGGAAATACATGGAAACAACTTTTAGAATTCAAACAAATCTCAGACAGTACGCTACGAGTGCTTTTAAATCGACTTCAGGGTAAAGAAGACGCTATCTCAGATAATTCTACATATTCGGTTTGTATTTTTTATTTTATGTATTTCATATAGAAGCAATTTCTTTGAAACTCCTGAGTTAACGGTGATTGATCTTTCATTTATGTAGCAACATAACATAGTATGTTTTGAGAAATGAATATTGTAAGATATCAAAAAAAAAAACGATGCATAAAACTATAAAGATAATAAAATTACAATGAAATTTGTAAGGTAAAATTTCCACGAAATGCTTTTAGACGAGAATATGGTACAAATATAATGAGTAATGAGGGGTTCATATTTATTTACATTACAAAAAATTTGCTGTAATGTAAATAAATATGAGCCCCTCACTACTCATTACAATTATACCACATTCTTTATTAATAATATACATGCGTAAGATACAAGTTATAATAGTTAATGAAGTAAGAAATAATTGTGAAAACCTTTGGCAGCCTCATAAACCAGTTGCCGATCTAGACAAGTGATAAACAAATCTAACGGTATTATATATTCATTATCACACTCACAAAAAAGAACAATACATGAAGAACAGTACCAACTGTAAAAAATAAATTGTCAAAAACGGTTAAAAACTGGCGACGTAATCGCGTAACCGAGCTACAAAAAACACAGACAAATTAAAAACCTCCTTCTTTTTGTAGTCGTTTAATAATAAAAGTAAATAAAAACAGTTCCGCCGACGAAACGCGCTTCGTAAATTATGAAACATTATCTCCAGAGTACCTGAGCAAAATTAATTCAGAATGAGCGCTAAGTGACACAGCGGTTATTTATGAACAAAAAATTCACGGCATGAATGCATTAGCTAAACCACAACAGCTAGGAACAAAGAAAGACAGCGTGATTTGCATACTGACACCATTACCCTTCTAATTGTAAATGTAAACAACCACCAACAACCAGACATACAACCATATTTGATGATTTGACACTTTAAAAAGATTTGAAACTTTTCAAAAACAAACGACTTTGTGAACATTTTTGAAGAATCCCATGTTCTTCAAAAAAACGGGTAAAGAGGTTCCTTCAAGGTGTGCAAGCGCGTGTAATGCCTTAGGTATTGTAGGCGTTTATAGGCTGACTGTAACTGCTTACCGTCAGGTGGGCTATATGCTTGCTTGCTACCTCAGTGGTACAAAAAAAAAAAACGATCGGTACAGATTCATATAACATTTTCATTTTAATAATTATACAGTGAACAATACATAAGACATTAATACAAGTATATTGTAAAACCAACCCCATATAAAACAAGATCTGTTTGTATTTGTAATGAACATTTTATTTAGATGATGCCTGATGACGATTAATTGACCCCAAAAGACCTCATTTCCGTCGTCATATGATTAGACGTTTGCTGTCGAAGATATCGCATAACATACACATAAAAGCAAATACAGTATTTACTATGTCTATTAAAACAATCCTCTTTTCACTTAATACAATTCAAACATGGCCCGCATTAGAAAATTAAAAGGGCTTATAGCTTTTTTATGCCCCTTCTTTCTAGTGGGATCGTAAAAGGCGACAAAAGGAACTTAATAGTGGAAGAATAAGCAGCAACGACTCTCTTTAAATATCATTAAAGCCTAACTACGGTTGTCAACGTGCCTACCAAGCGCGGCAACTACTGGCAAAAACCCTTCTTGCTTGGGTAGGCCTATGTTTAGCAGTGGACAGTTAAAGTCTGATATAATGACTCATTAAGAACCAAGAAACCCTACTAATATTATAAACGTCAAAATATATAAAATTATACAAATCAATCCACTTCAATCCTAAACTTAATATTAAAAGGAAGTAGTATCTGAACCAGAACTGGTCAAGGCCAAATATCAACAAGATCTGAGAATCCTACTCATATCTGTCTTTGTAAACAACTGTTCGCGACATTATTGTATATATAGCGATATTTATAGCAATGTTTATAGTTAGTTGTTAAGCCCCTAGTTTAATCGTTTCTGTATTCTGTTATTTTATATAGATTTACATAGATTTAAGATAGTGTAAGTTAAATAAAGTATTCCTTTGCGTGTTGTCATTATTACCTACGAATAGAAATAGAAATTGTAACAATAAATAGAATTAAGAAATTGTAAATTGCAATAAATAAACGCTATAGAGTACCGATCTGAAGAGACACGCGTCTCGTTCTTTCTCGCCCCGTCCCGCTCGCGCAGATTCGCTAACGCGAGTTGGAAACGTTATCATGCGAGCGGGCGGGTATAAAGATAGGCAGCGGCATTCGCTTCCGGGCAGCGACGCACTACACTCGAGAAGAAATAGGACAAGAAGAAAAAATACTCTCTTCAGACGGTACCGGAGGCTTCAGAATAGTAATCGCTGTGTTTCACTCCAGCCTGAACCAACGCCCCTACAGTCCACGCTCACCGAACGGCAGTCCACACCGTTCATCGTGGTCCTTCGAAAGCCGGATTGCTGGAGGAACACCGTTGGTACATCAAGAAGCCGGATCGCTGGAGGAAGACCATTCTGAAGCCGGATCGCTGAAATGCCGACTACGAGAAACATGAAGTCGTCGCAACAAAAAATCGCCGTCACCGAAGCCACAACGTCCGCCGCCACTACGTCGACTACGACCGCCGGAACGCTGTCCGTCGCTGCCACGCCGTCCGTTGCTGCCACCACGTCGTCTGCGGCTGTCAGAATGCCTTCTGTCGCTGCCACGTCGTCTACCGCCGCCACCACATCGACTACGAACACGTCCGGCGATACGACGACCACAGGAGCCACGGAGACTACCGAAGCCACAGGAACGACAGAGGAGACAGCAAGGAAGAAGGAACCGAAGCACGGCACGGCACGCACGGTTCGCACCACGGCCTCGCAGAAGAAGAAGGCTCTGGCCAAGGCACGGGAGGAGCTACTTTTTGGAATTGGCTGCTGCACGTGTCGCCGCCCTGGAAGCCGAATCAGAGGACGACGAGGAAGTAGAAGACGACGACGCTACCGTCAGAAGAGAACGAACGTCGGATTGGGTTCATCGAAGCACGCTAGCACTCACGATGGAGCCGCATGTACCAGAGATAGAAGAAGTCACCGGCAAGCGTCAGGGGTTCGTCCCATCGAGACCCGTTGAAGAGGATTCGAGAGCGCCGCCGCCACAGCGAGCAGCGACGCACTTCACCGGGACCACGCACGCCACGTTGACCCACATGCCGCCATTCCTACGATAGCAGCAGCGATGCAGTCGATGAAGAAAGAAGAACCGGTGCTGAAGGTGGGCATCGATTGCAATGAGTTTGCGATCGCCATGCAGATGGCCGCTCGCAACATACTGCCCTCCACAGCGTCAAGAGTCACCGAGTTGCCAGTCTTCAATGGATCGTCGAGCGAGTGGTTACCATGGAAGATGGCCTATGAAGAGAGCGCAAGTCAACTCACAGAACAAGAGAACCTAGCAAGACTGCGCAGAAGCTTGAAGGGGGCCGCAAAGGACGCGGCACGCTCCCTATTCGTCGGGTCTACGACCGCAGAAGAAGTAATGAAGATGTTAGCCGCGAGGTTCGGCCGCCCTGGAGCACTCGTCACAGCCGAACTGAACAAACTCCGCGCGCTACCACGACTCTCGGACAACGCAAGAGACGTCTGCCTCTTCGCAAGCAAGGTGCAGAACGTCGTCGCCACGATACGAAAACAAGAGTCACTCCTCTACAACGAAGAAATAGTGAGAAACGTCACAGAGAAGATGCCGTCGGTACTACGCTTCAAGTACTACGATTTCGCCAACGATCATAACACTCTCTCAGTTCCTGCAAAGGACCGCCGCACGATGTGGAAACTTCGCCCCCGCCGAGGAGATACCGTCCGAAGACCGGCGGGAGTCCGCTCCTAGGAAGACGGCGAAGACATACATGACGCAGGAGAAACCCGCTACACCACCGTGCCCGATGTGTCGACGAGAGGGACACGCTCCATCGGACTGCAAGACGATGAAGGAGCGGACACATCGGCGAGATGGGAGCTAGCGAAGACTCATAGGCTGTGTTTCCGTTGCCTCAAAGTAAGAAGATTTCGCCACGCCTGCAAGAGCAAGAGATGTGGAGTGGATGAGTGCACGCAGACTCATCACCCTCTGCTGCACACCACGCGACAACAGCCGGAGAATGAAGTAACAACACACGTCGTCGAGGACAAGTCCGCCGCAGTCACCGCATCGGCAAGGGAAAACGACAAGATCGCGTTCCTGAAGATCCTGCCGATACGAGTCACCGGTCCCACGGGAACGTGCGACACCTACGCGCTACTGGACGACGGGTCGACTTGCACCATCATCGAGACGGCGGTGGCGGAGCGAATCGGTGCTACGGGTCCCCCCGCACCATTCTACATGGAAGGTGTGGCCGGGGCACGGATCAACGCAGCTCAATCAACGCGTGTTCACTTCAAGATCCGCGGGCGGAATTCACAAGAATACACAGTGGGGGCACGGACGATGGACAGACTGCAGTTATCACCGCAGTCGGTACCGCGCAGCGTCATCAAGGGCTGTCCACATCTACAAGACATAGAGAGGGAGTTGGTCTACGAAGAGGGCAAACCGACGGTGCTGTTGGGGCAAGACAACTGGCACCTACTGCTGGCCCACGAAATCAGAAGAGGATCCGACACGCAGCCGGTCGCATCACTCACCGACCTGGGATGGGTACTGCACGGTACGAGTCGCGGCAGGACAAGACAGCAGGTGCACAGAATCAGCCACATAGTGACGACACATGAAGAGGAACAATCGATGGAAGAAATGATGAAGCAACATTTCGCGCTCGAATCGCTGGGGATCGCACCGAAGAGGTCCTACAACGAAGAGGAACGTCGCGCCCTACGCATTTTAGAAGAGAAAACTCGTCCGTTACCGGCGGGAGGATACGAGACGGGGTTATTATGGAAGAAGGACGACCCTGTGCCGCCGGACAACTACGAATCAGCGATGCGACGTCTCCGACCGGTCGAAAGGAATTTCGACAAAAATGAAGAGCAGTGGCCGCGTGAAGATAGTACGAGCGACGATAGTCAAGTGGAAACGGGAGAAGAACGCGTACACAAGCTACAGAACGCGACGCAGTTGTCCATAGCATTACCCGATCCGTCACGTTTTTCTAATTGGTTGAAACTTGTTCGCAGTTCAGCACGGGTGTTGCAGTTCATCGACCTCCTGCGACCGACCAGTCAACGCTGCACCGCCATCCGAAAGAGAAACAAGAAGAAAGAGAGCGCCGACCCCACTTGGACCCGCACGAAGAAAGTCGATAGAGAGAAGACGAAGATGAAAATCAAGAACAGCAATAGTCCATCTGTGTGTTTCATCCCCATAGACACACACTACCTAGATCGCGCGCGACGGCTATGGATTCGCGCGATACAACAAGAGGCGTTCGGCGACGAAATTGCAGTATTGAAACAAGGGAAACAGCTGCCGTCATCCAGTCGACTCATACAGCTGTCAGTCGTCATAGACAACGACGACATTCTGCGACTTCGATCGAGAATAGCAGCCGCCGCCGATTTGTCAGCCGAGCAACGAGAGCCCCCATCGTCGACGGAAACCACACCTGGGTGCGCCTATACATCGCATGGGTGCATCGGAAACTTCACCACGGCGGCTTCGAGATCACCACGAACGAGGTGCGACAACACTTGTGGGTGTTGCGCCTACGACACGCCGTCCGCAGTGAACTGAAGAGGTGTCAGCTGTACCTACGAAGAGCAAGACCGGCGCAGCCGTCAACGGGCAACCATCCACATAGCAGGTTGGCGCATCATCAACGACCGTTCACGTTCACCGGCCTAGACTACTTCGGGCCTATGACCGTGACAGTGGGCCGCACTCACCAGAAACGATACGGAGTGCTCTTCACCTGCCTAACGACGCGCGCAGTCCACCTAGAAATCGCCGGCAGCCTCAGCACGGACTCCGCCATAATGGCCCTGCGGCGCTTCATAAGCCGCAGAGGGTGTCCCACGGAATTATGGTCCGACCAAGGCACCAACCTCAAAGGCGCTGACGTCGAACTGAAGAAAGCAGCCGAGGAAGCCATCCAAGAAGAGTCATCAGTCCATTTCATCCGGTGGCGCTACATTCCCCCGAGCGCACCCTTCATGGGAGGTGCGTGGGAACGGCTGGTGCGTAGCGTGAAGACCGCACTAGCCACCACGTTGAACGAGCGGGCCCCCAAGGAAGAGGTCCTCCACACTCTGCTGGTCGAGGTCGAGCACACCCTCAATAGTCGACCGCTAACCCACGTGTCAACATCGGCAGACGACGACAGCGCCCTAACCCCCAATCACTTCATATTGGGCGGTCCATCGCGCGTCCCACTGCCAGGCAGCTTCACAGAGAGCGACGCGGCGGGACACAAGGAGTGGCGTGCCAGCCAGAGGCTAGCTGACTGCTTCTGGAACCGGTGGGTGAAGGAGTACCTACCCGAGTTGCAACACCGGCGGGAGCCCCGAGCTACACACGGAGCCATCAAAATGGACGACCTGGTCCTGATAGCTGATGGGACCTTGCCTCGCAACACGTGGCCGCGAGGCGTGGTGGTGGCGACCTACCCTGGACCAGACGGCGAGGTTCGAGCAGTCGACGTGCGGACGAACAAGGGCATCCTACGGCGACCCATATGATCATAACATCGACATCGAGCGACGCGAACACGAGTTAACTCCAGCTACGAGAGCTGCGGCGGGAGATTATGTTCGCGACATTATTGTATATATAGCGATATTTATAGCAATGTTTATAGTTAGTTGTTAAGTCCCTAGTTAATCGTTTCTGTATTCTGTTATTTTATATAGATTTACATAGATTTAAGATAGTGTAAGTTAAATAAAGTATTCCTTTGCGTGTTGTCATTATTACCTACGAATAGAAATAGAAATTGTAACAATAAATAGAATTAAGAAATTGTAAATTGCAATAAATAAACGCTATAGAGTACCGATCTGAAGAGACACGCGTCTCGTTCTTTCTCCCGCTCGCGCAGATTCGCTAACGCGAGTTGGAAACGTTATCATGCGAGCGGGCGGGTATAAAGATAGATCTCGTCGAGCGGCATTCGCTTCCGGGCAGCGACGCAACACTCGAGAAGAAATAGGACAAGAAGAAAAAATACTCTCTTCAGACGGTACCGGAGGCTTCAGAATAGTAATCGCTGTGTTTCACTCCAGCCTGAACCAACGCCCCTACAGTCCACGCTCACCGAACGGCAGTCCACACCGTTCAACAACATTGACCCATATATAAATTAATGAGCGAAAAATAATTGCAATTTAAAAGGCTGTAAAATAAGCAATTCGCTGTTTCTACAACTAAATTGAAAGATAAAACAAGACGCAGACGCCCATTAAATAAGATATCTCCATTTTTATTGCAATGTACATTCGTTATATAAAGTTGAATAATAATTAACCTTTTACTTGAATTCACAAACCTTTTTTTTCTGTGATTCTCTATTCGACTGTTATTTTAACCGAGTCCAAAACTGAGGGTGTTCTTCGTTCGTTTGTCAGTTATGTATAATTATTTTTATGACATTTCCAAACATAATGTCAAATAATTTTCATAATGCTAGTCAAATAGATACGAATTTCGTATTCGATTGTAACAAATTTTGATAATTTCAGAGTCATCATTTATCATCTTAGTTAACATTATTAGAGTAACATCTTTCATTGCGGATAATCCTCTATGGGAGCAGCGGAATTGGAAACACAAGTTACAGCAGTTGCGAATTGAGAGGAAGGAGTGGAGGAGGGTGTCACGGTCGCCGGGTCAATAAACTCCGCAGGCACCGCGGCAGACTGACCGCGGCAACCGACGCGCAGTGACGACAGCGTCTCGGTGTTGCCACTTCTGCTACGGATTTAGTAACTAAACTGTTTTCAATCATTTAGAATTTTGATCCATAAAAACTGATACCGACTTCGAACGTGACAAAACTAATTATTTGGATTTAAAAACTATTTATTTTAAATTTAAGAAGATTTTATATTTAAAAACCAATAAACCGATTTTGATAAAACTTCTATAGGACTAATCTAAAAGTATATTTTTTCTGATAAAAAAGGTCTCGAGGTAACAAACAAAAAAATATAACTTTTGAAAATTAAGAACTTTGAAATCGGTTGCAAAGTGTCTACATCTTACATTTGGAACTTACAAATATCAAAAATTAACCAAAAAAAAATAATGAACGAAAAAAAGAAGATCTCCCCTATCACGAAACCTAATAGTAATTAAACTTTATTAAAAAAAATATCTAAACAATCTAGATACTCTTTTTTAGATTTTTTTTTTTTTTTTTATTAAAGAAATGATAAATTCAAGCAATCATAGCTAAATCATTTAGCTACCGGTATATATTTTAGCAGAAAAAAAAATGCTAAATTCGGCCAAAAAAATGCTTAAGTGGCAACAATAAGCGCCATGCCTTCGCGGCACGCGTTCCTATGAATTTCAGTCAATGTAAGTAGGTACTATTGCCGGCCGACAGTACACCGTTACAAACTGCGAGAGTTTACATTATACAAGAGTGACGTCTGGAATGGACGACTTTATAATTTGCCGCACGACACAATGTTATCGTCACAATATAATAAGAAATAAAAATTTAGGTAAATTGTATAGATAAATAGATAGTCCTTTTTATGTTTTTGCGATGTAATCATATACGACCACGATTTAAAGATACACCGATATTAATATGTACACGATATGTACATTTTAAAGTATCTTTATATAATTATATACGTTTGCTTTGCTATTATCTTCGCGACGATAAAATCATTTCGTGACATGTTGATTTGTTAAATGCATTGATTAATAATCCAACAAAGTATAAATATTTCTTACGATATTTCTCGATGCATCTTAAGTACAAATGTCAAGCGGACGAAGCAGCGAATATAACTAGTTAAAATGCCTCTGTGACTATTAATTTATCTAAAAACAATATGTATCATCTAAATGTCACATCAATATACCCGCAATATTCAAAGAAAGTCACTCACGCAGTTTGGCAATAAATCAAATAATACAAATCTTGCGTCTAGACAAAACTATATATTATTATATAAACTGACCAACTGTCTTAATATAATCTGAATAATATGTTTTAAGCCAATATTTAGTGTTTAACTAACAAAAGCATAACTACAAGTAGGTATTTAAGTTAATCTATTTTAAAAATAAACTGGACTAACAAAGTCGTTTTTTACATGAATAAATATCAATCTGATAAAATTATTGTTTGTCCACAAATATACTTATGACTGAGTCATTGTGCCTCTAAGAATAATTTTATTAAGTAAATACATTGATAGCAATAAAACACTAGTGAAAAAAGCGATATCAACGCATAATATATACAAGGTGATCTCAAATGAATAACTTTACCGCAATGTGTAATCTTCCGTATAATCATATGCCAAGACAGAAAACAAACATTGACTGCCTCATTACCCTCAGTGACTAATGCAATCACGTCATAATTAAATCATGTATGAAAGTAAATAACAAAAAGTGTTATTTTGCAAAACTGACACCATTAGAATGTCTACGTGTAGAAAATATACATTCATTGAGAAAGACGTCGATTAAACGATCAGCCGATCGATCAGGAACCCTTATATCTACAGTAAAACTACCGTATTGAATCGGTCAACTCATCGTCTAGTATGGATAGAAAAACGAACGCTGTAGTTTCTTTTAAGACTCAATTGTTGAGCTCTATTTTAGAAGTATTACAGTTTAGAAAAAGAGATTTAAGAAGAAGCACGAGTTGACAGTTTTATAACTTAACATACCACATATCGTCATAGTCGTAGAATACTGACGGATCTGACAAAGATTACATATAAAGATCCGTCAGTATTCTACGACTATGTCGATATGATGAGAAGGGATGATATATGTCACTGAGATGTTAAATATATGAATTACAAGCCCGTTACTAAAAAAAATTTTTCCCATCCTTTAAGAACCCCATGTAACAGTAATACACTTTCACAATTTATTACAATTAATACATAACCGTATACATATCAACGTATGTTCATAGTTCCACAACAAGTTCCTATGAATCCGCATTAATTTTAAGATATAAAAGAACTATTGTTTTTTTTTTTTTTTTCATTTTTATTATTTGAATTTACTTTACTTACATATATTAAAAGGTTAGAACTAAACATTAAGTATGTGAGTAAATTTCCACCAAACAAGGTGATAGAACCTTTACTAGTAGTATCCAATATTATAATCAGAGAGATATCAATTTTCCAACATGTCACACCTGTATCAACGTTACGTTTTCCTGATGAATATCTTCATTAGAACCACAATAATGATATTACCACTTTTAACTATAGGTTGTCACTTTGCACCAATACGAAACTACTCGTATTACTAAGCGTTGAAGAGGAAGTAAAATGGGCCTTTGTCCGGCGTTGGTGATGGGCACATTACATTGGGAGTATATACTATTTATTAACAAAACAATCGTCCAGGCAGATTGTAATCTCATTTTAAGACGATAAATAGACTAAAATTAAATTCATGAATAATATAGAAACACCGATAAAAATACAGTCGACACATTTTTATTGGTATTTTTACATTGTGTGTATGTGTGTGTGGGTGTTTCTACAATAAGAACTTTTAATCTGATTCCAAATATTTATCAGAACGATAATAATTCAAAACATCACCATCATCAAATAAATGATTTACCTAAGTAAACTCAAAACTTCTGCTCCCAGTAAATATACAAATATTTTAGTTACTATAAATTTGAATGGAAGCGAATATTGAAATCTAATAAACCGTAAGCATAACTGTATTCCAAGCAAACGAGGATACAATTTAAGTTTCGCAGTTTGGGGGAAAATCTATACTTCGCGTATACGCAAATCAACACTGTGACGTTTTCTACACAATATTTTCTTACTCTTCTCTCTACTTCTCGGTATTCGTTTATCGAAAAAATCTACCACAATATAACTAAATTACTATATAAAGTTACAGCTGCTGAAGAAAGTTGGTTGGGATCTAGTAAAAGCATTAAAATTGCTAAATGCAGGTTAATAATCTCTACCTAGTATATCTATTTGAAAAAATTTTTCTTCGCTAAAACAGCGACTTCACTGTATTATATTTAATTGAAAAATATTTCAATTTAAAAAAAAGTTTAAAAAATAATAGCAGCTTTAATCTTCTCACAATATATATTCGAACCAACACGGACGTAAGCCCTAGCGATTGCAAAAAGATTATTATCAAAGATTGTGCAAGCCCCTGGACAAATGGCAAAAGTATCCATCGATGGAATCTTTATTGGAAGCGAGTCCATGAGTCGGAATGAGACAACGGATGTCGCTCTTTCTATCTCATGGTCTCGCTAACGATAACAATTCCAGCGATAGATTCGCTTGCCATTTGTCTATAGGGCCAGAAATACAGGCGAATTAAGAATAGCAATATTAGATACCTATTGATACGGTTATCCAACTAAGACCTCGTGCTCTCTAACCGTTACGATTGATCGGTTCAGTAGTTTAAGTTACGGGTTATGATTTTACTAATGATCTAATCCAACACAAAATATGATTTGAAATAATAACTTGGTTATCGTTATTTTCACTACAGAATCCGAGACATTAACATATTATTATTTCAACCACATCTAATACTGAAGATAGCATTTAATATTTAACTTTTATTGCATTAAAATCATTAAAACATACTATGACAACTAAAAAAATTAAGTGAAGTACAGTAGCATAAAGTACAAATCAAAACATTGACATAAAGGCATTTCATATTTCGTCCCAAAATCACATCTGAAGGGTCCTGACTTCCTCTTTGCTATCACTTCAAATGACCGCTGTCACTTTCTTTGCTGGGCTTGTTCGCCATTTCAAGTTATATAAAAAATATATATTCACATTAATTTCGCAATGAAATCAGAAGTATAAACTACACACCAGAGAAGTGTAGTACAACTGTGCCATAAATAAACGTGTATTAATGACACCGTTTTATTTCAGTATGATATGCACTCCGAATTTATTATTTATCTTCATCTTATTGTATGATGTAATACAATTATGAAGTAACTGGAAAAGAAGTCTTATTACGTATTCTGTGCCAGAAATTCTTAGAAAAATTATGAACAATGATTGGATCTAAATGGAAAAAAATATAATTATAACAGCGGCCAGTTGATATTATAAATTTCTGAGATCATTTTTATTCTACAATAACAGTTATTACTTGCTCAGTCAGAAAAACATCGATCGACAAGCTTTAAAAATAACTGAGACTGACAAGCGTCAATGTATAGAAAAACATTATAATAATATTGCGCAACGTATAGACCGAGCGCACTTGGAATAGTAACTAGTATAATCTCGAAGTACCGACGTAAGCAAAAACAGAAGATAAAAAGACTTCCAAAAGAAAGTTACGTTTATATTTCACGTCCAAGTCCCATATTAATTTTGTGACGATTTTTCTGCTGTTGCTGCCATTTTTCATCGCGGAGCAAAAAGCTGATTGCTGTGAAGCAAAATTATTAATATTTTGAATTTAGTATGTCTACAGAATATAACATCAATTATCAGTATATTAAAGTAATTTTTTTCTTAATAAAATATACCTGCTTGTGTGTATGCTATCCACCGAGTAAAGATCAATTAATTTTGGCAATCATGCGGTGACGTCTACTCTGCTCGAGCATGAATAATTGGCTTCTCCGTCTTACTACTTGCGACATTGTCGTCATCATAAAACGAGATAGAACTTAGGTACATGAAAGAAATGTATATGAAACTCTGTCATCAAAATGGCCTAAATTGATTTTTTCGATCCT